GTGTGAGTGAGTGTGTGTGTGAGTGTGAGTGGACGGTGTGTGTGAGTGTGAGTGGACGGTGTGTGTGAGTGTGAGTGGACGGTGTGTGTGAGTGTGAGTGGACGGTGTGTGTGTGAGTGTGTGAGTGAGTGTGAGTGTGTGTGTGTGTGTGTTAATTTCATTACTTTATTTTATGTATATATAAATATATATATACACTTTTTTTTTACACAATTGGAACCACACTTTATTTTATGAATGGGCATGTGATACTCAACAGAAGCAACGAGCTGATAGAACAGCATGAAAGAACCTATCACACAAGTCAAGAAAAAAGAGAACATCAACCATAACCACCAAAGAGGATCAAGTGTTTAGAGGACAACTGCTGCAGTTATTAAATTTGGCTTTGCTTTATTTATTTTACCCAAATCTTGAAATTTGCAATATGACATCCAACATGTGCCACTGAAGTAGGCCGACTGCACCACCCATTGCCCTTCGTGCTTGAGTAAATACCAAAAATCCTACATAACATTCTGGCAAGACAGAGCTTGGAAAAGTTCACCATTTGTAAATAAATAGCTTGCATCCTACAAGTTCTACATTACCAGAATATAAAAGGTGCAGGTTAGATGGTCTTTGCCTGAGCACTTATAGGCAAGGAAGCCAAACCAATCTGCATGAAAGCAGTAACCTCTTCCAGTGTCTTCTAAACATTTTCCCCAAAGAAAGGAAAAGTTGAAATTACCAGAAGCTAAGAAACAACCTTTAGAGCAAAAGCAAAGATAGTTCTAGGAAGATAAATACAAGGGCAAAGAAGAAGCTGCTGAAATGTGAAAATGCAGTAGCACTGTGCTGGATATGCAATTTGCATCGGAAGAATCTACAGCAGTCAATATCTCCTCCTCAGCTCCGCAGATTGTTTTTATTGTTTTGTTCTGAAAGGAAAGTAAATATGTTGTCCATCTGTCAATTGCCATGGCGTTTAGCCCCAAACGTGCGTTCCACCCAAGTTCAGATTAACATCTTCCTATATTATTCCTATAAAATACAATAATAACATACATCATTCACTTAACTAAAAGAGCACTAAACACCAGAAGAAAATATGGGTATGCCAGTTATCTACTTCCACATTTTCATCCGAAAACTATAAAATGCAGGTTAGATATTTTTAAAATATAAATACATTGCTAATAATAGAAAATACAATCTAACTACACTGCAAAAGATAAAGCCAATTAAACAATGAAACTCTGAAGTAAATTGATAGAATATAAAATACCCAAAAATATTAGTAAAGACAGCAGCAAATGCACAGAAAAAGAAAAAATCCATATTTTCCTTGACATTTTCCTGATTTTTCAATTTTGCCATATTACTTTCTCAATTATTGCCAATGTACATATATGAACAAGATATCCTTCAAAATTGTGCATAATTCCTATCCTACCTTGGATTTTTTCTCATTCAATGGGCTTTTCTACATTTACATATTGTATAAATATAGACCAAGGAAATAATTCAGACTTTCTTGACAGGAAAGAATGATTGTATACTACAAGAAAAACTCAATTCACTTCCCATTCATAATCAATAAATATAGTACAGATATACATGTATGTAGTTTATTTACCAATTATTTATAAGAAACACAGTAAGGCTGTCATAATACAAGTTAAATTATTTTTTTAATTTACATAATCAAAATAAAAGAAAGCTGAACTAAATATAACGTCAACATTGCAATTCTTTACAAATACTATGGGAAATGTTATAATTAAATTCTTAAAGATTGGCACACGTTACGGTTGATAACGCTCTGCAGATACTAAATTTCATTTTTTTGTGTGCAACATTTTACGGTTATTTTTTATACATATACAACCTACAAGTCTCGTGCCCAAATTAAAATACGATAAAAACTAGTGGGGATGCGAAATAAACGGCTGGAGATAAAAAATTCTCCCTTTCGCAAATGTGGCCAAGCTTCACACACGCGATGCCAAAAGAGGTCCCCAGAGGCGCCATTTTCCCCCCCACGCCACAGGAACTCTAGTGAAGCTTAACTAGCCTAAAAAATGTGAAGTAACACGTCTCTAGACGGCCCGCAAGCAGCAATCAATTCCTTTGCGCTTTTCACAGGTCCCGCCACGGTATCGGGACCTATCTCTTGGCGGGAGATTTGATGCTGGCGAGTGGGTGCTGACGCCGCCATGAGCCGCCGCCGCCCTCCCTCCACCCGGCGACCCCACATCACAAATCCTTAAAAAAAACGAAAAATACCAACCACTCCCGGACCCCTCGGTCGAGAGTCGCTCAAAAACCTTCATACCTCATTTTCCTAACAATTTCCTCCCACCTAGAATGTGAATAAATGGAGAAGAGAAGTTAAAAACTTACATTCGCGGAGGTAGTTTGACTCGTAAGGGCGGCGTCTGGCGGGGATGTGAAGCGGCGGCGGCGAAGAGCGGCGGCTTGGGAGGCGAAGCAGCCAGCGAGCCCAGCTAGAAATTAATTTCAGATATTATTTTCCGCTTTCCTTTGCATTGGGGGGCGTCGTTGTTATTTTTTAAAAAATCCCCAAGGACCGTATGATTTTTTAGAAAATAGGAAGGAGGGGTAAAGTAGGGTCTAAAGGGTTTAAAGAAATAAATCGGTGGTGTCCCCTGGTTATTCGTTGGATATTTTCGGCGTCGAGGTAGGAGGTCGGGAAAAAATTGATTCTGGAAATAACTAATGATATACTTACTTCAAAACAATCTTAAAAAATAGAATATGACTTAAAGTGTATGTCAGTATTTTTTATATATTTATTTAGCCGATATATGGCCCGAAATAAATTGTTCCATTAAATGCACGGAAAAACCGAAGTCTTCTCCACGACGCTCGGCGAATATATTTCTGCAATTTCTAGTATATTTAATAATATTTTTTTTGTTGTAAACGGTGATGAATTTTTTTTTCGAATAATTGCCAGAAAAAACTACAATCATTTGTCCTTTAAATGGGTGTAAAATGCAATATTCTGAGAAGGTCAATATTATTCCCTGGTTAATGTTAATCAATGGTGTGTGCGTACAGTATGTGGCGTCGGGTGGCTACGCGACAGGCCAGCACTAACTATTGCCGTTAAACGGTTACCCACTTCTAAATGAGCTTTAAATTTAAAATATGTTTTATTTTTTTCAAAAAAAAATAAAAAAAAATCACGTCCATTGGCAGGTTGAGAGACCGAGTCCGAGTCATTAGGAAGGAAGAGGGGGGGAAAGGAGACACGAAAGTAAATAGCACGAGACGAACATCATGTAACTACATTGATATCTGCATAAGGGCACTTGTATATGCAAGATTTATGATTCTTTCCGCGCGGAGGCTTTAATTCAAAATTGCAATACTAGGCCTCTTCCTCTAACAACGCAATAGGAACAGCAACATGTACAGAAATCATACACTATAAATATTTTTTTCACTTCGAGCAAATAACGGTATTTTATTTTTTATTTTATTTTTGCCGTATGAATCATAAAGAAAATGGAAGTTCATGATGTTTCAACCTGAAGATTACTTTTGGGAAACGATTTATAGAAACCTTTCCAAACAAAGACATGACCGCCAGACAGTTTTGATTCTTACCAAAGGCTTGCAAAGCAAATTTCAGATGTTCGTTGCGAAGTCGAAGTTTCCTTGGACGCAGCTCGAAAAATCCTGCATTTGCATTTGAAATGCTTTGTAAGTTTGTTGACAGTAACTTTAAAACTACCCTGGAAGACTTGAGAAATATCAGTTATTTTGCTTCATGTTGCTCGCATGGCTGCAGTGCATATAGGTTGTGTGCAGTCATGGTCTGATCAAATATTCTGATCTGCCAAAGGATTTCAAACGCCCTTGAAGCAGTGCTTGATTGTAAGGTCTAATCTTCGTTTGTCCTCGCATCAAGTACACTTTTACTCAATAATCTCCCTTAGCATAGCGGAAATGAAGCATCCAGTGATGTTATTGAGGAGAAACCAATCTGCCAGGGCTTGCGCGCGCATACATGCATTGATACCGTAGATACGGAATGATCGATCGATGAAATCTATGTTTCTCTACTGAAAAATTTAACAGATATACTTGTAATAGTGACGCAATCTTTAGATGATGTCTCATATTATTTATCGCTTGATTTCAGACACGGGAGCAAGATACCTAGTCCAATGTCTGTGTTGCTTCATCAGGTGCACTGCGTGTATTTTTTCAGCAACCTATGGCCTTTTAGAACAGCATCTGAAGGTCTTTTGTTCATCCACCTACATGTCTTATAAACGCCCTCGTGTCCTTAGGCTTTACATGTGGACACCGTAGAACTTGTTATAGTGAACCATTTATACCAGTCACTGCTTCACGTAGCAAGAAACAGTTTATTTCTTATCAATTCTCTCTCTCTCTCTCTCTCTCTCTCTCTCTCTCTCTCTCTCTCTCTCTCTCTCTCTCTCTCTCTCTCTCTCTCTCTCTCTCTCTCTCTCTCTCTCTCTCTCTCTCTCTCTCTCTCTCTCTCTCTCTCTCTCTCTCTCTCTCTCTCTCTCTCTCCTTTAATAAGAAATAGATATTCCTAGATCTCCCGAACATTCATTTCTCGTTGGCCAATGTGTATATCATTTAGCCAGTCTGTTTGGGAGAAGCAGTAACTGCCTGAAGACAAGATCGAATTATATTTTTTCCCATGAGGTTATTCCTAAAGACGATACCATATAAGTGACTCGTTAGACTGACTAATGCTAATAGATTTTGAAAATGGGCATTAAAATGGATGTGTAAAATGCACTAATTATGTTACAGTGGTACTCGAACAAAGATTATATTTCTAAGATTTGACCAGACGTGAAAGTTCTTACATTAGAGGTTAACCAGAAAGAAAGTACCTGGTGGATGACAAATTGCCTATTTAATCTAGTGTTTTACGTGATTACCATATATTCATATTTATTTCAGTATATGCAGAAATGTGATTCTAGAGACTGTTGTTTGTACGGTATGTGTAGCTTAAAGTTGCACTGGGCCATGCACCGGATACGAAGGTGCTGGCACTCTGCACATACCATGATCTCGTGCCATCCATGCGACCGCCTGTCAAGTCAGCATCATGTCCAAGTAATTCTGACAGAATTGTAGAGGCAGCAAGAGTGGATTTCATAGACGTTTGAGATCGAAGGGAGATTTGCAGACTTGAAAACGTTACCTATCCAAGATTTTTGGTCGTCTAGATTCACACGCACACGCGCGCGCACACACACACACACACACACACACACACACACACACACACACACACACACACACACACACACACACACACACACACACACACACACACACACACACACACACACACACACACACACACACACACACACACACACACACACACACACACACACACACACACAGATACGCACACAGACACGCACGCACGCACAAACACACACACGCCCGTGCGCCCGCGCGCACACACGTGTACATAGTACATGCACATGCATATAATAAGTGTGATCGTCTGTGTATGTAGGCATGCATATATTTGTGTGTACGCGTGTCTGTCTGAGGGCATGCACGTGCGTGCTTCTGCGCATGCATGCATAAGCAAATGTCGCTTGTAAGGGAGTATGGCAGCATTTAACTGTTGAGATAGTTTTACAACAGGGACGGAAGGAAGCATGTATTCTGGAGCTGAATTAAGGATTTTGATACATCTTAACCAGTAAAATTTACCAACTAACCTTTTACAGGCCGATTTTCCCCATTACATATATAATTACATGTGAATATATCTAAAAGAAAAGTACTGTCCACTTCATTGCAGACAAAAAATGCAAGGACCCACTTTCAATACTTGTAATGTTGCCCTTTCCTATATTACCAGTTCTTTGCTTACATGGCCTGGCTAATATTAATAAACAGGATGATAAATAAACGGATCGATATATAAATATGTAGGTGGATAGACTTGCTTTACAGAGAGACAAGATGGCGGAAAGGTGTGTAGATCGGTACTTGGTAAAGTGTCCGACCTAAAGTGGGTAGTAATCCTGTAGACCAACAGACTAATAGATAGCAATAGGACACATGTTTACAAATAAGGCTAAACTTTTGATATCAGTTGATGTATTATATATCAACTGTGATATTCATTACCTGTGAGCTCCACAGATACTTTCCTTATTGTCAAGTAATATTTCAATCTGACATCAATGTTCAACTAACCCAGGTGTAATCAATATAAGCTAATAATAATTTCAGCAATTAAGTTTACTCAGGATGGTTAAATCTTAGATTTAGCTTTTATTTCGGGGTCCCCAGTCAGTGAGTGTATTTATTTAAATAAAATTCCAAATATTACAAACAGTTTTTAAAAGAAAGAAAGTTAACCCACATTCGACTTAAAAGGTCAAGTACGTTGCTAAGTTCTTAACCTAGCAATATACGAAGTCAAGCTCCATTTGTACATACCAGTGCCCATTAATAAACTCTCCAGTTCTGATGCAGTAAGGGCATTCATGTTTATCTCTCCTGTTCTGAATACCGTTTTAGGGAGTAATAGATAAGATCCTGCAAAGAATTTGTAATTTTAAAAATACAGTTGGTAATCCTGCGCAAGATGCCAGTTCCCACATGCATCGCAGGTTGTTACATACATAGAAGCATCATGCAATATATAAGTTTTGCGTTTTATCTTATAGTCCAAGTTATAAAATTAATTGTTTCATAAATACTATTCGATTTAAACAACGCCACGAGGGTGCAGGCGTACCAACCACGCCGAGTGACGCATCTGCCTCGGCTTGTACTTGTTTAGCAAAAATGTTTTCCTGTCTTTCCCTGTTTTCCTCTTTTGCGTCGGTCGAAAGCAGACGTTTGTGTACGCCATTGCAGGACAAGAACCTGTATGTAGCTCAGGAGTAGAAAAAATGCGTAGGGAGAAAAACAGTTCGAGATGCTCAAGGTGAGGAGGGAAGAGAAGGAGGGGAAGGGGGGCGGAGAGGATGTTCAAGGTGAGGGGGGAAGGGGGATGGCGTGAGATTGGGCGTGTGTTGGTTTCTCAAATATAAGAGCAGGCGGTGTATTAAACCCAAATTGTAGAATTATAAATAACAAAAAAAAAGGGTAACTCAAAGATACACGACAGATTCATATTCAAAACGAACGATAGCAGTATCGTGGGATAACTGCACTGCACGAACCGGCCTTTGCAAGGGAAGCGGAAAGCCATTGGAGTCATTGTATGGAAGGCGGGCGAATGTAGCTTGGGTCAGGAAGCTTGGTTTAAGCGGCGCGGGCGAAGGGCGGAGGAAGGGGGGTAAGACAAGATCTGCACAGTTAGGGTGTAAGGTTAGAACTTGCTTTCTTGACAAATAATGCGAGGCGAAAGGGATTATTTAATCGAGCACTTGAAAGCATCCGGGAAGCCTTCACTGTCAAAACTTCACTCACCAAGAATTCGGCGATCGACCGAACGGTACTGAGATACAGTGTATGGTT